CCCTTCTGCTGCCCTCCGCCTGCCAGGGGCCAGGGTTTTTATATAAACCATGGGGCAGGAAAGCCCTCGACATATCATTTGCTGCAGGCAGCATGGATTTTTGCAGCCAGATCCTTGCTGCTGGGAGATGTCTACCTGTCCCAACCGTTCATCACTGCCAGCGCAATCCCTGTAAGGCCAGAGCAAGGTTCTCACCCCTGGCTGGCGAATGAGTGGCTTTCTACAGGTTTTTGACACACACAAGCAGTAAAAAGAATGAACATCATCCCTCTATGGCTGGAAAACAGCAATCAAGTGCCAACAGCATGGAGGAGTGTAAATGCGCTGATTTTACTTCCCACCTCAGTACCGAAGACATCGATATTGAAGGATTTTGGGGACCTTGAAATGCTTTGCTTGTCACCGACAGCCTTCTGCACACAGCAAAGCAGCCACTCGATGCTTCGCTGGCTGCTTGCACTCACACTCCCCTTTGGTCTTCTTTATTTATTTTGATAATGGCACAAGGAATCAGTGTCAGGGGTAGCTGGGGTGAACTTCTGGGCTTCACCGAGTGTGCTGCTGGCGTGTATGCATCCCCTATTAAAGCTACAGATTCCCATCTCTGATTGCCTCTTTGTGTCTGTACTTGTGTGCGATACCTGTGTCACGCTCCAGTAACTCCTGACGGGAACGGGGAGAAGCGTTATTCTGACCTGGAGGAAGCTTAAGAAGGGGCTTTGCCAGGATGGATCCTTTTAGGCTTCAAGGAAGTGGAAAAAAAAATCATAAGAGTACCTTGAGAAAGTTGAGGAGTGAAAGAATTTGTGGAGCTTTTCGAAGGATGCGCGCTGGTGCTATGCTAAAAGTGAGCTCAAGAAGGGCTTTGGAGAGAAGAACAAACTCTGACAGCAAACCTACCCCCAAAGTAGTGATTAAACCCTTTCCCATGCCATGGCTTTTCTAGCGTGCCCCACCTTGGAGCTCCTCCCCACTTCCTCCACACCACGTAACTCCTTGTACATGGCATGGATATTTCTATCCCTAGTGTCCCGTGGGAATGGATGGATGTGCAGCTGCATGAACCCATTTTCATCGTGAGAGTTTGTGGCGGCGTAGCTGCTTTGCTGCCCTGCAAGGGGCTGTGTATCACTCCGGACCTGATGGCCTGGGAGACGGAGGGCAGGGGACAAACGCAACAGCCCTTGGGGAGAGGCAGCGGGGCGGGGGGCAGAAAGTGAGGCTTGTTTCAGAAGGGCTTGCCAGGACTTTCTGTGACCCCTGGGTCCAATCTGAGACATCATTAGCAAACTAATAAAATAGCTGCAGATGTTGAGCTAACAGCAGAACGTGTTTCTCGGGGACATCCTGACAAACTCTTTGGTTTGGAAAGTCATCAGCTAGTCCCTGGTTTCCTCTTTGTTTCATCTCCTTTCCCACCCTTCTTCCCCATCGCTTCCCTCCTGTCTGGATTTTCAGGGGGATAAGCAGGAAAAAGACTGGAAAGGGCCTTTTGCATAAGGAATGGCAACTGATGCCTGACCTGGAGAAATGCCCATGTCTGACCTCACAGCATGGCTGCCAGAGTGAGGAGATGTGTAGAGACCCTCAAAGAAACAAAATCAGCAGGAGGCAGGTGCTTCCCTGCCTGTATGCCTGAGTGGGGCTGCTTTCCCCTGGCACCAGGATGCTAGAAGGAGGAATACATCAACCTGGGTGACAGGCTCTGCCACTGCAGAAACGGGGCTGGGGTTTCCGCAGAAATAAGAACAAACCGGTGCCCAGGAGGGGATTGTATCTGCTGAAGTGCCTCTTAACCTTTTCTGTATCCTGTTACTAAAGGGAAAAGAAAACACGTAAAACCGCGTGGGGGGTTCCTGCCTCTTCACCTGACCATAAAGAAAAAAAAAAGAGAGGATGCTGTCCAGCTCTCCAAGATGTTGGGGTTCATGAAACCAGACAAGCTTTCTCATAGCAAAAAGCCAAGCGCCAGACAGGTCTTGGGAGAAGGAGAGGGGAGGAGAAGGGGTGGGCGGAGGGAGAAGTCACCCAAACTGCAGCGACAGGACGGGGCGCTTGCTCCAGGCTCTCGAGGCTCTGGGTTACAACATTGCAGGGACATTTTTTTTAGCTGATCTTAACACAGCAGCTGCTGGTTTCACTGTGGTTGCTGAGGCTGCTTGACCAAAATCAGTGCTTGAACAAAATCAGTACTTCCTGATGCATTTTTTCAAAATTGGGAGAATTTTCTTTGTGCTGCACTGTGTCCTCTGCTCCCACAACCCAGAAATATTACACTGCTTTGCACATTTAACCCAATTTAGGACAGCTGATCCCCCCAGCTGACAACAATACTTTTACTTCAGGTGAAACTGGGAATATTTTGGTTCAGGAATGGCTCCTGCTAGGGCGAGGCAAGGGTAAGCTGTAGCAGTGTGTAAGTGGCTGATGCAAAGGGATGCTATCTCCGCTTGCAGGCAAGGCCTTGAGGAACGAGCAAGGGGGCTGGGACATGGTGGGGTTTGAGGTGCAGAAGGGCTTCTGGTGCAGGAGGGCTTGGAATAGAGGAGGGTTTGGGATGTGGCAGAGTTTGGGATGCAGCAGGTTTTGGTATGCAGGAGGGTTTGGGATGTGGGAGACCTTGGGATGCTGGAGACCTTGGGATGCTGAAATACCCTGGGATTTCAGGGCTTCCTTCAGGGTGCAGGGGATCTGTCCCCACTCTGCCTGCTCCATCACCTTCCTTTTAATCTGCTGCACCCTGCAAAAGGCCCTGCAAGCACATCCGGGCTCTGCCCAGAGGTTCAGCCTGCAGCGAGGACACGCTGGGGCTCTGCCACCCAGGAGATGGAGAGGGATGGGAGATGGGTCCGTGCTACAGCAGGGAGCAAAGAAAGAGCCGGCATATTTTCCTCGAGTTACTTATTAACCACTGTTCATTTGACAGGATCAGTATTTCAAGCGAGGGAGTAAACACTTAAGAAGCACCACTCTACTTTGCTCTCTTTTCCTTTGCAAAATGATTTATTTTCTAAAATGCATCTGCCTGGAAAGGAAGTAGTGCCTGGAGCCCAGTGGCTTTTATCTGTGGGATATGCAAAGCACATTTATTTTGTCTTTTATCTCTCATATTGCATGTTGATCCCATACATATAGATTGATTTTGTTCAGGTAGATAATGAAAAGTCAAGTGGAAAATTTACACAAAGGCACTCAGGATCTCGACTTTCTATTGGTATATAAATTGGTTTATTATTTCATTCCCTTAAACAGGGACTTTCACACTGGGGAACACTTTAAAATATATCATGTTTAAACACAAAACCATTTACCTTTCATGTGTTTTTTTTCCATCAGTAATTTCCTCGGCACTTTTGTTAATTACCAAAGATATTTGTGTTTAAACAAGGGCTCGCTCCTTCTCGATCCCTCCAGCAATTCATCTTCCTTCTCTCATTGCCGTCGCCCGAAAAGTCCTAACGGGAGATTTCTGAGCCACTGTCCGTGCCCGCCGTGCCGACATGTTGAGCACTGGGGCTGACAACACCTCGGAAGCTTTCATTAATTCCCCATAAGCGGCTTTCATTTCACCACCCTCGCCCAGTGTCAGGCGCACCACCTTGGCGCTGAATAGAGGGCACTGTATGTGAGAGCACAGCTTGGAACAAAAAAAACCCACCCAAAACCTAGAGGAAACATTATTAATAAACATCTTCTGGACATTTGGCGGCTGGTATAGGCTGCTCCAGCTTAAAGCAATTAATTCAGGATACTGACATAAACTCTCCAGCTCTTTGACAGCTTGGAGCTGAAATAAAAATGCTAGTTCTCCAGGGAAAAGGAGAGGATAGTTGGCTCTTTTCTGGACTGTTTGCTTATAGGCCCAGAGAGCAATCTTCCTCGCAGAATGAAATGCAAGGACACAAACAATGTACCAGGGAGAGAATAGGAGATGGGAATGAACAGTTTGAACTATTTGCTCAGCAGAAGGGCAGCCACAATGCTCGGCCAATGGCTTTCCCATGCATCAACCCGGCTTCTTAGCCCCTTTTGTTGTTCAGCCTCTTCCTCTGGCCAGATAAGAGCACAGCTGCGGCGTTGCGGCTAAGTCAGGC